TGCTCAGCAGATATTGTCCGCTTACTTGTAATGCTTGTATTCGCCAATAACCAAATGATGATTTGTAATAAAACGAAGTGAAAGCAAATCATTTGTTTTTTGATACTTCTATATATATTTAAATGAATATTTGATAAAATACTTGAAGCATATGACGGTAATTTTCAATTGTTTACAACAATTACTCTGCAAAAAGGTTTTCCGCAGAATAAGCAGCATAGCAAAAGAAACACTGAAGAAGAATACGGCAACATTAATATTGGTACTTTTAAGAATTTTGGTTTTTCTAATTTCTCTGCAAATCACAATTTGTGACATACAAACTTCAAATAATAAAGATGATAATAAAACGAGCAATGTGCAAGCAATGTGTTTCTGATAACAATTTGCAGTTGGTGAACAAAGGAATTATAATTTCAAATAACTCCGAGAGGGGAAATTTTGCAGAATTTTGTAATGATTGATTCCGTAAAATTCACCTACCCTTTCACCAATATTTTTTCATGGTAAATTGGTAGTGGTAACCACTGGCCACTGGCATTGGACATTGAAGATGTTATGGTCGTAATTATAATTAATTATTATAATCTTTGAATTATAATTATTATAATCTTTGAATAATAATAATCTTTATAATTTAAATTTTTGTCTTATAATTTCATTAATGATAATGGCACAGAGACCTGAAAGATAATGCAATTTGTGACCTCGTTAACCTCGCAAACTTTGCCGAACTTCTTAAAGGTTCACATTAAATGAGTTGCATACATCTTTGGTCATTAGCGGCTGGTCTCATTGTTATTGTGATTGTTATTGTTATTAGGTTATTTAAATGGTCATTTATTGGTTAATATGTTAATCACATATACCAGAGACCTGAAAGATAATGCAATTTGTGACCTCGTTAACCTCGCAAACTTTGCCGAACTTCTTAAAGGTTCAAATTAAATGAGTTGCATACATCTTTGGTCATTAGCGACTGGTCTCATTGTTATTGTGATTGTTATTGTTATTAGGTCATTTAAATGGTCATTTATTGGTTAATATGTTAATCACATATACATCTTTGGTCATTAGCGACTGGTCTCATTGTTATTGTGATTGTTATTGTTATTAGGTCATTTAAATGGTCATTTATTGGTTAATATGTTAATCACATATACCCTAATGGTACTTATTGGTTATTAATGAGCATTATGGAACGTGATCTCACGCAAGTCAGTAGAATACCAGCCAGCCATCCAGAAATGCTAGAAGTTGAAAATAGATGTCCTTCAAGTCTTCCCGATTCTCCATATTTCCTTGCCACTCTTCGAAAATAAATATAAATCTATTTATTTGCATTAAATGGCGATTTGTTTTACATATGCAGCTGCATTCAGTATTTATTTTTGTTACTTTCCAAATAGTCAATACTTATCCAGAAATGATTTACAAAGGTGCGACCGGATCAGATGAAAGTTCCAAGTTCAGTGAAGCGAACCTAAGAGATTAATAATTAAAAAAAATAATTCCAATAATTAATTTTAGAGACATTTTTGAAAGTTTTTCTAGAAGTTTCTAAAAAGATCAGTGGGAGGTCAATACTGAATACTGTAGAAGCATGCGCCAATTATATAACATTATATAAGCAAAAGCAATTTATGGTTAAGCACAAACGGCTCCCAGTGTGATCCACTGCACCCTCATCGTTAAGCAGCATTTCGCATTTCCTCGAGAGTTTAGCTAGTATAGTAATTAAGTAAGAGAGAATTTTTATAATTTAGGGAAGATCCTTGTAGTTGTCCCGAATCGTGAAGTTTAATGCAAACGCGATTTTCTGTACTTCCTCCGTAATAAAAGTCAATTTGCTGCCTCACATTGCGGCGTTTCCGTTAATTTTAGGCACCACGCGCACCACGTGATTTATAGATTAAAGCGCAAATTATTGTGACTTGTCCGAAATTTATGAATTATATTTTTATCATCATTCAGCTTAGAAAAAAGTCCATTAAGTTGTCAAAAATGAATAATCGCAACAAAAGGCGAATATATGGAAGCGATAATTGGCAAAACCCATCGCAGGTAATATTTTCGAAATACCGTTTCTCCTAAAAATTTTTCTTCAAAATTTTCTGTCGCCATTTCATTTCTATTCTTTTGAAATAAACCCTTGGATTATATTCAATATTTTCTTTCTCTCTCTTAAAAAATATTCAAAAAACACCTTTCACCTTTCTATTTTATGCATAGCCGTCATCTCTCATTTATGGCTTTTTATTATAGCATTGTTTATTGAATCGCAGATTTGCTCGAAAATCAAATGATCAAAACAGATTTGAGTATAAAATTCAATGTGGTAGGTTAATTTCGAGATATTACGGCGACAAATGAACGTGGTACTCACCTGCAGAAAATGATTGAAATTTTTCTTTTACAAATTCAAATAGTACCATAAAATAGTGTTAGAGATGCAGTAAATAGTGTTACAGATGCAAATAGATGAAGTTGGCTTGTTTTGTGATCTGATGATATTTCAATTTAATAATTGGCTCACCTTCTCACATTTTTAATTGTATGACCTTACAAGAAGTCATTCAGGCGAAAAATTATCACTGCCAAAGCGAAAAAGACCCTTTGGAAAACGAAAAAGGCTTCGACAAATGCAAATGTATTGTGATAAGTTTGCTTCACGGGACGGCGTCGTAATGAATCAAATCCGAGTAAGAATTCGCGTTTTATCAGTTCAACGTGCAGAAAAAAGCTTGTTTTTTCATTATATCAGCACCTTCCTTTTATACGACAATTCTCCACTTCTTAAAATTACAGATTGTTCATGGTGCGTCCACTGGAAAAGAATTCTTTTTGAGAGTACTTGGTGAACAAGTTGATGGGATTAAACCTATTTTGTTGGAAACTGATCAAAACGATATCGTTTTCTTCATTGATGATGATGAAGTATAATTAATTTTGCGTTTTCGCTAATATTTTAGCAAAAATTAATTTTATTAAATTCAGACAGCATTAGCAATACAAGCAATGTCACGACGAATAAACGATCCGAGCACATCTTGTCCAGTGACCATAATTTCGAAAAAAGCACCATTAGGCTTTAATGCTGTTGGCCAAGATGAAATCGATTTGCTAACGGTGAAACTTGCGTAATTTGTCAACTTTTACGCTTTATTTATTATAAATAGAAAACAATAATTATCAGAAGAATTTCTTCATAAATAAATGCGAAACACTAGGCAGATAGTCAATACTGTGAACAATTCGATTTATGGTACCACAGTTACCTTTTCATTTTACACCTAAGAAGCTAATATTTCAGTGGGTTTTAAATGACCGTTACGATGCTGAAACTCGCACTCTTGATTTGAGTTATTTTTCGCTCGATCGAGGTTACTTTTTCATTTATGTTTTATCAAATTTTTTAACATAGATTTTTACGTAGATTTTAACATTTTCAAACGAAACTCCTTACTATTGGAGGATTTTGCTAGTTGTTTGCTCCTTACAAACTCATTTATCCATTCGATGCGCTTTGGAAATTATTCCGTTAGATTCGTATTTTGCATAGATGAATGAATATGATTTTGAACTCGTAAATTGAGGGATATTGAGGGAATTTTTTCATTTCAGCATTCCACGCCAAACCGTCTTATTTTTCTTTGTGCCAAAACAATATAATGATGGCTGTGATCGATTTGATTGATAAGTATTACGGATCAGTCACGTCTTTGATTATGAAAGTAAGTGGATTGTGCTTTGTGAAATATTTGCTCTAAAATTCATTAAAACTCTAATAAAACATGCAATTGAAATAAATATTGTAATTATAGGGAAATCGTTTGCGATTTTTGGATCACTTTTCATGTCTCAAATATCGAATTAGAAATATCCAAACTTTGGATTTATCGTCGAATCGGGTATTTCAGTCATTTCATAAGAACCATGCAGGACATATAGCCAGCAATACTAATAAGCCAATAAGCAAACGAAGGGGACTTATTAAAGAAATTAATAAGTGAAGAAAAAGTCTCGAATTTCTTACTTGCGCTATCTTATTTGAATTTTTTTCATAATTTTTCTCATTTACATTTCCCTAATTTTCTTTGTACGAGAGTTTTGTTGTTTTATCATTTTTGATACTTATAAACCTAAAATTTTTTTCAAGATCGACAGTGCTTCTGAGTTAGCGAAATTGAAAGAATGGCCAGTTGAAACATAAACGATTTAATTGGTAGAAAATAATTTTAAACGCAAATTTAGGCGACATTCTCTTTATCAGTCGAAAATCTGTCAGATGCAAAGGGTACTCATGAAGGAATCTCTGATAACAATTTTTGTTTATCAGAATGGGAATACTATAAAGAAAAAGTTTTCTGCAGAGAGGCTATGGAAATTGTTGTTCAATTAAGAAAATTGCCTCCCACTACTCATATCTTTGAGACGTTCAACGTTGTTGATGTTCCCATTGTGAAGGTAATTTTTAGCATTAAATATTTTGTTCAATTAAAATTTGCATGAAACTTTATATACATTCGCTTTCTCATGCACTGGAGATAAAAATTTCTTCCTTTTTAACTATTTTATACATTTGCATTTTCATTATAAACCAAATTTTAGGGCAATATTATGCGATTTAGTTTACAAGGCTTTTTTCGCGATGCATCCATTAATATAAAAAATTCATTAACTGATGCATCTTTATCAGTACTTCCGCGATACTTCTGCCGCGAATTCGTCCTTATCGATAAGGGTTGTGGGTGAGTATTTATTCATTGATTGTTGATTGCAGAATTATTTATATTTGGTGATTTATTTTCTATGATTAAAAAATTAAAATTAAAAATCTCTATTAAAAAATTAAATAATAAATATACTTGAATTTTCAGAAAAATTGCAATCATCAATGACACATTATTCATCGCTATTGGCTCTTCCAAACGATTGGAAGATTATAAAGGCATTTTAAGAAATATGATTGAAGAAAGAAGAAGAAATTATGCGGAAGAAGAAGTACAAAGCAGGATGGAAGCAAATATTTCCCCGACCCCAACGTTACCTGAATTAACGCCTAAAGAATTGGCTTTAGCTGGTTATTAAAGTATGCAGAAACTCTTGATTGAATTGTTTTCACAACAAAGCCATGAAACCCGAATGGTCCCGCAAATGCCTTATGGATCTCAATTGGGACTGCGAGGTTTTTTCTCATGCTTGCATTTCTAGAATAATAAGAATTTCAGATTTTTGCAATATAGATTTTCGTAGCATTTTTTGATTATTTTTTGATTATTTGAACTTTGAATACTTCGAATTTGAATTGGCACCCTTTTTCGAAACACTTCAACAGGAAGGGTGGGCGAAAAAATTTTATACTCTTTTAAAAAACAATGGAGGAAATGAAACAAAAAAAAATTGCTCGATGATAAATGACGATAATTGAATTATTAGTTGTTATTGTCTTATAAATTAATCTCTTTTCCAACCATAAAATTTCAAAAGTTGCTGAAAATCTGCTAGAAAGGATAAATATTTGACAATTTGCGAAATAAACTTTCCACAAATTTATTCTCGCGATTATGTCGCTTTATATCTCCTCCATTCTTTCTCGGATTGTCCATTTCTCGGTCGCTATTTTGTCGCTTCATTTAAAAGGCATTCACAAAAGGCAAAAGGCTTTATGTGATTATTAATGCTTTTATAATTTATTGAATTATTAAACTATGAAGCGTTATTGATAACTTTATTTAGCTTTTTAAATTTAACAACAAAGTGGAGTTGTATTAGAGTTGATTTTACAATAACGATTAGTCTGCTCGGTGCAATTATATTTTCTATCAATAATGATTGTTTAAGTAATGTGCTGTGTTTTATTTTTGATTTCGTTTCAACATACTCGATTATTTCCAAGAAAAAAATAGAAATGGAATGTATAGAAACGAACATATATGTACGAATGCATATACGAACTTTTTTTCACCTACTTCATCCTTAAAAAATTATTTTTACGGGGAACGTAAAAATACTTCCTTTAACTTTTTAAGTGAGATGGAATGACGAACTTTGGCCGAATTTCTTGAGTCATTTACGCAAAAAAATTTGTTGAGAATTTAAATTTAATAATTTCAATAGATATATAAATTTCGAGGGAAAATTTCATAATTATGCATTCGATTTACGATGGAAATAAATGAAAAAAAAATGAAATTGAAAGTTTTTTAAATTTGAACAGCTTTTTGGACAGTTTTTTTGAAGATCTATGGAAAATATTTATTTAAAATATTATTGAAATGGAAATTTCTTTATTTATTTATTTACCGATTGGAATAGAAAAATTTTTAAACGTTTAGGTTATCCTTGATTTTTTCAAATGCTATGGAAAAATGCTAAGCATTTTTATTGGAACTTTAAAAGAAAGAATTCAGTCAACCATGTAACAACAAGCAATGCTATGAAAGAGATTTGCTGATATACTCTGATATTGAAAATTAAAAAAGCTCCAATATTTCAAGGAACCGATCGAATTATCCAATTCTGAAATTGTCGAATGGGAATAATCCAATCCTGAAACCATAAAAAATTTGAAACGTATATTCGCAAAATATTTCTATATTTCAATCAGAGATATGCAGTGCGATTATTAGTAATAATAATTGATTCATTAATTATTATAATTAATTTCATGATTTCATCCTATTCACAATCATAAAATTTCAAAAACCTTTAAAAAAGTAGATTCACGATAATTTCACAAATCGTTGTAAATAAAACAAAATAAACTTGACACCCGACAGTTATATTGTCGCTAATTTGTCGCTTTGTCGCTATTGTATCATTCCATTTAATTAGAATTTATTTGATGTATGATTAACAATTTTTTAGTTAATTAATTCATCAATGGTTATTAAATCGTACCGAACTGTAATAATCGTACGGAATTTTTTTCATAATTTTTCTTAGTTACATTTCCCTAATTTTCTTTATACAAGCGTTTATTGTTTTATTATTTTTGACACCTATAACCTTAAAATTTTTTTCAAGATCGACAGTGCTTCTGAGTTAGCGAAATTGAAAGAATGGCCAGTTGAAACACTTTTCTTTGGAAATAACCCTTTATCCAGTTTCTCCTTCAGCCCATAGTTTTTCGAGCTAAAAATATCCCTTATCTTTTATATTTCTTTAAAAAACATTTGAGGAACGACTGAAACGAACTGCATTGGTCGATGATAAATAATGATAATTATTAATAGTTATTGCAATTCGTTCTACAAATTCATCCCTTTTCCAATCATAAAATTTCAAAAGCTACTAAAAGTCTGCAAAAAAGGATAAAGGATTTGACAGTTTACGAAATAAATTTGCCACAAATCTATTCTCACTAATATATCGCTTTATGTCTCGGATTGTACTTTTTCTCAATATTGTGTCGCTCCATTTAAAAGATAATTATTTTATGTGGTTAATAATGCATTGCACAATTTATTCGATAATAAAGTGTTATTGAATGGCTTCATTTAGTTGTCAACTTTTACAACAAAGTGGGATTGGTATTATAGTATAGTAATGTGTTTGGTAGTTATATTTTTTGATTTTTTTTCAACGTTTTCAAGATGGTACTGTTGCATCGCTTTATTAAAATTGGTAGCACTATTGATGAAGTATCATCCGGATTTTCGTACAGACGCAAAATCAAACCTATCATAATCAATGAGTATCGACTATTTAATGCAACGAAAGTACCATGAGACAATCCAACAGTTGACAGAATTTCGAATAAAATTGCTACGAATCAAAAATAAAGTACAAAAGCTTTAATGCAAAAAGTTAAGTTTATATGATTATATGTATAAAAAATTTTTTCGCATCTTTTTTTATGGTTTCCTTATGATTTCGTTCTGTTTTATCAGCGAGTTTCATCCACATCGAGCACTTTATGATTTCTCGGCGACTCGCAATTTCGAAAACACTGACCAAATTTTTTTAGCCTTTTTTCTTTTTGCTGAATTATGTATAGTGAAAATTTTGTCTAATAGCGACGTTTACGGTATTCTTTTGGAATATTTTAGTTTTTTATAATGGCACAACAAAGAGTTGCCGAATTGCTTGAATCGTTCACGAATGAAATTTTTTTATGATATTTTATTTATGACTTATTTACTTATTTTATTTATGAATTTAAATTCAATTTTAGCAATGGAACTCGAGAAAAAATTTCGTAAAATGGAAAGACATCTTAAATTTGAACAGCTTTTTGGAGAGTTTTTTTGAAGATATTGGGAAATAAGTTTCCAAAACATTTCAGAATATTGAAATGGAAATTTCTTCAATTAAATAGAAAATTTTTGTTTATGTGGACTATCGTTTTGCGCCATTATCATGGAAAGCTTTTCTGTTGTTGATTTGTTGCGAATCTCATGCAGTTAACGGCAAAAGTAAATACAAGCGGTGGATCCTGTAAGCTTACCTCATTTCCTATGGAACAAGTAGCTGACTAAAAGGTTTTTTGCCAGTATTCTAAGGAACCGGCCAAGCGCGAACTATAAGATATAAACGATTAGAAGAGAATAAAATTAGAATTCTCGCCAAATATTGTTGAGTCAAATACTTACAATACGACTTTCGAACGGCGAAGAAATACTAAATTAACGAAGTAGATTATTTTTAAAGAGATAATACATAAAACATTAGAAGGTAGGAAGTGAGAAGAGATAACGAATAATTGCCAATAATTTTTGAAAAGAAATTTGCTTTCCATTTTGCATTTATTTTTGTGAACGCTACTGATTCGCTAAAGAGTTCCATTTAATGCTAAGCAAGCTGAATAAATTTTTATCAGTTTTTATCACTCCAGTTTTTATCATTAATTTTTGCGCATAAATAGATGAAACGAACGATTATTTTCCATTGACAGAATGTTTATACCCTTTCTCTTCTTTCTTTGCTTATCCGAGAATCATGCGGATGATCAGGTAATCGAGGACTGCGCAACCAATGCGCAACAAAAACGTCCGACAATTCCACCAGAATACTGCCAAGATTTAACTCCCGACACGTGCAATGCTTTATTTGCGAAATTGCCAGCCACTTACACACAAAATCTAAACCCGTATATTTCATTTCCCATTCAAAATATTGCTTACCCCTTAAAAATTCCGTTTAACCCGATTCGGTAACATTTATGGCAATTATATTTAAGTGCCAACGAATACAAAGTGAACAAAGAATGCAAGAACGCTTCCTTCACTGCGATAACTATTTCGCAATGTCCAAGTTCGTGTGCAAAATGCTGTTTAACGCCGCAATTCAGTTGCAGTAACGGTTATTTTTAACGGTTATTTTAATGAAAATTTCCTGAAAAAGGTGCAAAATGAGTCGAACCAGTAATGGTGAGAATTCTTTTAAAAAAATCGA